GTATATAAATAAACTCTTAATAATACTTGGGAAGACATGTAAGAGGCACCTACAAAGCATGGCTAACTCATCATGCATATGTTGAGAAAGTGCAGACTCAAGTTACATGTGTTTTCCAAATATTTTCACATTGCAAATTAGGACAGCATTTGGTACAATGGCGAAGCTGCAATGCTTTAGTGATAGAGAATGCACTACTGTACTTGGACTTGATGAAGAAATGGTACAGTATCTTAAAAGAGCAGCTGACTAGAAGAATGCCATGTAAAACAAAGTTACCACTTTTGTTCACTTCTTAGAGCAAGGATCTGAAAGATTAGTAGAGGTTAATTAATATCTGTTGAAAAACAGAAGAAAAATATTGGGTATGGAAAGCCTTTAGAGAATGGTATCTAGAAGGGAAAGAACCTGGGTACTCTTTGATTCCATGCTCTTTATTGTCCAGTATTTATCAGGGAAGGCTATTAGTTAAATGGGTTTTTGCCATCATCTGTAACAGGGAAGTGGTAGGAGTAGCAGCAGCAGCACTGATGCCTGCTGCCCCAGTTCAAATCAGTAGCAATGTAGGACCCTATCACAGCCAGACGGCTGTACGCTTTGCACTTCCTGTGGATGTGGTCAAATATTTGTACACAATCAGAAATTACCCAAGAGAGTGAGAAAAAGCTGTTAATGCAGAACAAGTAACGAAAAATTTTAGCAAGAGTTTATTGCAAGTTTTGATACGTGAGAAAAATCATGTGAAGTACTGCTAATAACATTCCTAATTTTACCAGATAGTGGCTACACTCTTAAGCATAAAATGACTGTATTAAAGACACTAGGCCTCCGAGTATTTGACCATAGTTAAAATACCTGATGCTTCATGACTAAGCCAAAGCCACAAAAGGGATTCCAAGTAGTGGGACAGTATCTTAAGAAGTGTGCCACACTGTAACTGCAGGGGACAATGTCAGCCACTGTAAATATCAGCATTCTTTTCCTCATAAAACCTCAAATGAACACCCTTCAATTCCGATACGCACTATGGACAGACTGCATGAGCTTTTTTGCTATCTGAGCAGCACAGTGTTTTATGACTACTAATTCCACAGACAATACAGTTCAGAGAGCAAAACAACCATTTATAGCACTCTGCTTATACTGAACAAATGCTGTACCTTTCTATGTATCCTGTAGATGTTCCTACCAGACCATCAAGTCTTTCCTGAAGGGCTGCAAGAATCTGAGGATTTTGCATCATCTGCACAGTCAACTGCCGAGCTGAATTAAAAAAGAAAATTCCATAAGTGCAAAGTGCATTTTTTGGACTCACCTGAAAATAAATAAACAATTGTGGATGAAAAAATTATAAAAGAATTACAGATGCAAAAGAACTGCTTAACACTGTCAAATTTCCCTAGTACTGATACATGTTTCTGATTTATAAAATCAATTCTCTCTCCATGATTCCTATAGTATAATTTCCCCTCAGATCCTCACCTACAATAGCTGGGATTAATCACTGAAAATACACATTATTAACCTCTAGGTTCCTTTGGGACACCTGAATACTTACCATTTAATAACTGTAAGCTGTTCTTCAGCTTACCGGTGTGTTCCCCAACATTTTGCAATCCAGTTTTGAAAACAACTTATTTCAGTAGATATAGCAAAGCCTAAAATCATCCTGAACAAAATTATCCTATTTTTCTTTAGTGTTATTATTCTGTTCAACCAATTACATAATGTGGCACTATTAGCAGTCTAAATAACTTTATTTCAAGTATTATTTATTTCTCTTTTGGCTACTTGTTCTTCAGATTCTATCTGTGCACCCAAATTTAACTACAATGCACGAGTAAGACTGTTCAGCACTGATGAAACAAATATTCTGATACAAGCTCATGTTTTTGCTGAGGGGGAATATAAAAGGATTTATTTATCTCTAAGAGTGGTAACACTAAGCATGAGCTTTGTTCTGTTCACAATCAAACAACTTAGCAGCAAATTACTAAGCAAGTAATCAAAAAATATAAGACACACACACACATGTGTATGCACAAGGTATTTTTTTTATGCTCAAAGCTTCACATTTTAAAAGTCTTTAACTGTTGTTAGTTTTGAAAGAATCCAGTCCCATATACACAATAATCCTGTCTTTTCCCATTATACAGGTGGCTAGAACTGCCTAAACTGGTATTAACCATGACTAAAATGAATAACTGCAGAAAAGTAATAAATATCACACACCTGGAAAAACAGTCCTTGCTTCAGAACTTAAATGGTTATACATCCGAAGCTATTTTACTATTTCCTATTATTTTCAGCAGTAAAACCCTTTGCCACATTTAACTAGGAAGTACACATGCAGCTGCTAGAAACCCTTGTCTTCAACACTACCTTTGCTGTTGGCATCTTCACCACTTTCTTCTTCTTCTACTTCTTCAACATCTTCCATATCCTGTTGATCAAGTTCAGACTGTTCTTTGCTATTAGAAATATTTAATAACAAGATCAAGAAGTTAATTTTATAAAATACTACAATGAGCTTAAATAGATAAATTAGATTATGTGGGTAGAAGGAAACTGTTTTATCTTTTGATCTATGACAAACTAGAAGTCTTAATAGCCAAACGAAGCCAATTTGCCTTCAAGTTGCACATTTGACAATCTCAGAACAACTTAAAGAACTAACAACTTTCCAGAATTATCAAGTTTCATTTTTACAAAAGAATTCTTTTATATCCTGTTCTTATCAACCAGTCAAAGACTCCTCCTCTTTGATAGGATGTGCAGGCTTTGAGAACTGTGGGCAGGTTCACCTAAACTATACTTCAAATGCCACAAAATGAGCATTCAAAGTATAGGAAAAAACCTACATACAGTGAAAACAACAGTAATGGGCAATACCATCTGGTTTTCCCCTCCAGAATTCCAACCAACACAGTAAATTGACTAGTGCCTTTTCTCAGTTTCAGATTTACCTACAATTAACATCCCAAATCCATGTCGTGAGCAACTCAAGCTCTTCTCCCACATGCTATAAACCTCATGTCTTGCCATAGTGCAAAGATTGTTATCTAGGCCTGCCTGTCAAGTATCTGGAGATCACAGCCATCTCGAATACAGCACAGGACACACAGTCAGAGCCTCATTAACTTACAGATTTTACTTACTTGTCTATGTCTGCCATTCTGTTAGATTTCAAACACTAGAGGAAAAAAACCACAAACAAAACAAACATGTAAGAACATGTAAGAACAGCAGCACTACATTTCAGTTACAAAGTATAAAGGCGTGTGACTTAATACTAAAAGCAAAGAAACATGAACCACATCTGCTTTATGATACCGAGATAAATATGTATTATAGTCTGAAGAGTGGCACATCTCCCGTGCACTTTTTGAGCTCTCAGTCTAAAGCTTACAGAAACACTGAAAAACTTAGTTCTGGTTTAAAACCAATAGATCTACTCATATAAATTAAAGTACCAGCAAAATGCTATGTTCAGTTTTGTATCATAGGGCTGAACTAACACCACTGACTGAAAACTAGTCCTAAGTATAAAATTGAAATATAACCTGGGAAAAACTGAAGTTAAAAGGCTACTAGAACACTTTTGGTAACTGTCTACTAATTTCCAGCATGTAATTGCAGACAGAGGATACTTACAGCTAAATCAGTTTAAGACTAAAGATGCCTTTACTTTTAATGCCAACTTTACAAAACCAATCCAAGTAGTTCCTCAGAATACCCACAAAATTGTAACATTTAGCAAAAAATAAACTGTGCCAGGTGCTAAGCTATTTAACAGGTCTAGTCTCCATGTCCTGAATGATCAGAATTGTCTTAAAGTATCTTAGTAGCATCATAAACACATTCCAGACAGTAACTAGAAACATCTAATGCTGAGACAATTGCATACCATGAGGCACCTATGTCCTCAACTGTATTATGAGCAGCATTTTCTACCAGCAAAACAGTATGCAGGAGTCTAGTCTCCAAGATGTTTCAGGTAGCTTGAACTCAAAGACAATGCTACACACAAGAAAACACTGTACTGTTACTGCCATTTTAGGTCCAATAGTTCAGGAGGCTCTGAGTACCAAGAATAATCCTGGCCCAGGAAGCATAGAAACTACTGCTTTAGAGTCCCCATTTTAGCTGCTGTTCTGTAAGTTTCACAAATTCAAGCTTCCTTCAGGAATTTCAACTTCTTATAACGCATTCCAATGAGAATTTTTGCGAAGTGTTGGAGGGATGTCTTCCAGAAAAAGTGAAAATTGCATTTGATCTGTCCAAAGTGTGTAACAAAAACAGAAGTAAGATCAGGACATTAACAGTCAATATGAAGAAACATTTTAGAATCTAAACTTCAGAATTCAACATCTACATTCTATGTAGATATAATCTAACCTTATTTTTTCTAGTGTTGTAACTACTTCCCAAAAATCGCACGGAAAGGACGTATCTGATGTCCTCATTTAGGACCACAACTTTACAGTGACAGTATAGTATTCAGAAGACTGCACATAATCCAAGAGATACAATTCCATTATATGCAGTAGAACTAGAGAGCCAACTACTTAGTCTGTTTCAGAAAAATAATACAGTATTTGCTATCAAATACAATGGCAGCACTGCTGTAAACAAAACTACATCCGACAATTCAGTAGGAAACAAGACTTACAGTAACATTGTCTCACTTTATTCAGATCACATTTGCCTGACTTGTGATTTCAGGTTTACACATGGATGCAGGCTGTCTATATAACAATTCCAAAGAGTTTCCTTTGGATACCACTCTCAAAAGATAGCAAGGACTTAAGACCTACAGAAACTGAAAGCATACTACAATTACAATTGTCATTTAGAGGTCCCTGTTTTTCTTGAGCAACATAACAATTAGCATTATTTTTGATTTACAGATTTTATCCATGCAAAATATACAACTTTTTCCTTGCACATTTGCTCTTGTTATTAATGCAGGACCATTTCAAGGAGACTGGTAGTATCACAGTTCAAAAGAACACAAGATGCAAAGTTCACCTGCCTTTCACATATTTTTATGCAAATGTGACACACTGATGCCATTCACCAACTGCTACTGGTTCCTTCCAGTGACCAGCATTTCCTCTCTCCATTCTCCCCACCAAATACAGCTTCAATTTCCATAAAACTCAAGGCAGCTCTTTCAACAAAGGTGTGACCAGTGGCAGCACAAACACTGTGGTCTCTCCAAACCAGTGGGCTGCATGAAACAGCAGCAGAAACACCTTACATACAGGTTTGCTGAAAGAGACAGACTTCTACAGATTATTAAAACATTTTTTTTTCTAAATGACGGCAAGAATGGCTATGACCAAATCATGCCTAAAAACCTTTCAGAAGCATCCATCCCATCTCCAGCATGGGTCATTCATTAGCTGATGCCTTGGAAAAAAGCAGTGACATGGTAAGAATTCCCCCAGAAAGTCTCCTAGTTTTAAATCAGACTCAGAAAACACACACTAGCTCAGAAGTGCAGATATTTAACAATGCCATAATATATTTTTATTTCACAAACTAGTCCCAAAGTTTCACAAACTTTCCCCCAAACCATGCAGATAAGCTGATGATATCACTCAAGTATCAGAGCACTAAAAATCCTTTTTCTGAGTTGCAATATTCTGCTCAGAGATAAAAACTAAGTCAGGTTTTTCCTACACTGGGTAACCATGTAGCAGAGGAAGCTTCATCAGCAGTCTCTGCATTCCCCAATTCCTCAGTGGGCCCGTTTTCAGTATTCTGAACAACTACTTGTCATCAGTAACCTTCATCGATCCTTTCCCTGTTCCCTTCTCTTTCCAAGACCACTTCTAGCCATGCTGAAGGTATTAATCTCATTACTGCACCCTGTGGAAGTCCAGCATCTGCCTCTCTCCTCACTGCAATGGACGGTTACCACCCTCTGCTTTCTGGCTTTTGAACAATCCACACAAGCACAGTACGTTTTCAAATTATGGCCCAGTTTACTCAAAAACTTTGAATAACATACTTCAAAGATTTTTTTTTAAAATTAAAATAGACTGTATCAAGCAACTGTCAACTTCAGAGCCTCCCTCTAGTGTGTTCCCATCTGTCTCATCCCATTTTTCCTATTCTCCTTGCATCAGTCTTTTTCATGTCCCATCCTTTAATCTTCCCTCCACTTTTTACACAACTCAGTATCAGAACATTCACAGTTGGAAGAGTTCTTCTGCAAACTGAGGAGACAGTGCTGTTTATCATGATACTGTCATCTGCCAGCTCTAGACAGCAGTTCCTGAAGGAGACTACAAGGCACTGCCAACAGAACTATGCTGGCAGACATTTAGACTAATCTGTTCAGCCCACTAGCATGGAAGATATACAGCTGCATCACATTTAGTTTATTGTCATTTACTTAACAACCATAAGCTTCTCTGCAAACACCGCTCTACTGGTAAAAAAAAAAAAAAAAAAAAGCCCAAACTGTAGAAGCAGAAAAGCACTGAGAAAATGCATTCCTTAAGAGCAACCAACCTCCACTATCTTTGCATGGTCCCAGTCTAGCCTCCAGAGTTTGGAACATTCTATGCACCACAATTTGTAATACTAAAATACATCACTGCGTTATTTATTTTGCAGTACCTCCCCAATACTAATATTTCAACACAGTACTCGCTTTCCATAAAACACAGCTGTCCTTCCCAGTTCATTTCCTGGGTGTAAACAGCAGCTGTACCTTGGCATGTGAGCAGCAAGAACCACCCACTGCATCACTCCTTGAAGTAGTCCCAGCAAGATACCAATTCACCAGTTGTCAACGCAGGATTATAACAAACTTGGGTAGAGCTGATGTGTTACTCCAAGCCTGAGCGTGTAAGTGATTGCTTTGGGCTGACATTACTTAGAATCCAGGCTTCTTGACTGCAAGAAAAGGCTTATGAGCACCAAAAAAGAGTAGCCTCTCCACACCCCTGTACAAAAGCCAGCATGCAAATAACCTCCTTATTAGTAAAATATTTTACTTCCCCTGTTATTTGAATAGCTGTAGCCAGTAGCACTGCATTCTGGGCAAATACAGAGGTACCAAAAGGCTTCACTTACAATGTTAACACTGCCCACTGTAGAAATATGCAGAGGAAAAGAAATTGATATCTTATCTTTGCAGGGCTTGAAAGAGAATGCATAGGAAGTGTGTGCTGCAAAAAGGACAGAAAAGCAAGCTACAATGCAATTTTTCTAAAGGCTAAAGTTTAAAACCTTTTTCAAATAGGTAGCTTAAGCCTGCCATCACAAGAAAACGTGTTCTGTATCAAAATGTAAAGGTTAGGAGATGTAACCCAGCACAAGCTTAGCCAGTTTTGAGTGCTTCCTGCAGAATTACTAAAAGTTAGGAAAACCCCCTTAAATTTTAAACCTTACCAAAACAGTATGACAATTTGCTATTTTCATCACGCTTAAAGGACACTTTATCTTTTTAATTGTCATATTTTCCAGAAATGTAATTCTATACAAGCAGGAACTAATAATGATATTGCCATGTGTTCATCCTCAATTTATCCATTAGTAAGTAAGCTTTCAGTTTTCAGGGGGTATTGTTTCTTCACTAAGTGATTTTTTTGCTCAAGTCAAGACAGAAATACAAACGTAAAGGTTGAGCACTTCCTAATCTTCCCTTTACCCACATAGAAAGTAGCCTGAGTTTGCACAGCAGCACTAGCCACGTTACAGCTAGGACAGAAGCCCTTCAGTGAGAAGATCAGCTTTAGGTGTCCCAAGTAAGCATATGCCAGTATTAGATCACCCTGACATCCGCTGGGCCTCAGGAAGACAGGTCAAAGAGAGGTGAATTAGGAGTCAGCTGAGGAAGCAAGACATTCCTGAGACAGCTCCTCCAGCAAAACAACAGCTTTTTTTGCACAAGCCCTAAGGCTGGCAGGCTGCCAAGACAGCTCAGCG